TGTTGTACTTCAGGATATATTGTGAAATTTTCTTTTTGATGATGAATGTGATGACATTCCTCTTCAATTTGTCATTCCTGATAGAGTAGACCATATATTGTCTGATTCAAAATGGCCAATACCAGACCATTTCAGCTCATTAATGCCTAGGATATCGATTTTTATGTGTTCCATTTTATTTTTTATGACTTCCAACTTTCCTAGACTCATACTTTATACCTTCCATGCTCCGATTATTAATGGATATTTACAGCTATTTCTTCTCATTTTGAGTCATACCACATCAGCAAATGAAGGTCCTGAGAGCTTTATTCCATATGTGTTAGTAAGGTCAACTCTACTGTGAGAAGGCAGCTGTTTCAGTCTTCTAGTGCTCCTCTAACAGAAAATACCACAAGTGGGTGGCTTTAATAAGCAGGGATTTATTGTCTTACAGTATAGGAGGCAAGAAGTCTGAGTTCAAAGTGCTAGCTCTAGGTGCTGGGTGAAAGTCCCTCAACCTTGGGCTTCAGCTCTGCCCCTTGCTCCCAGCCCCCTGGAGCTGGAGATGTCTCTTAACTCAGGCAGCTGCTGGCTGTTGAGGCTGACAAACCCAAGGCTGACAAGTTAAATGGCAAGTAAAAAGTCCCAAGATTATTAAGCAACACGGAAGGCCACTAGTCCAAGTGCAGAAACAGTCTCAAGACCAGCAGATAACATGGCAGGCCACTGAGATGAAAATTCAGCCAAATGTAAGATCCATATGTGCCAAAAAGCTCCAAGATCTTTCTCAAAGTATCTTTTTATATAGTGGAAGCAGATCACATCTCTAAGGGAGCTATTCAGCTGCTTACAGTAGATTCTACCATGGAGTTAATTACCAGTCTTATCATGGAGAATAAGTGCATCCAGCTGCCAGCCACTCAAAACAAGGCCTAGCCAAGTTGACACATACCCTGAACTACCACAGCAGCTCTTCCCCATTCATATTTTGAGTGTCTTCTAACCTGAGGGGCTCATTTTATGACACTATATCAGACAATGTTCCAATGTTACTCATAAGGTTTTCACTGGTCAATTTTTTCAGAAGTAGATCGCCAGGTCCTCCTTCCTAGTGTATCTTAGAATGGAAGCTCCACTAAAACCTGTCAATCATGGGTGACCCTGTTGGTATTTGAAATACTGGTGCCATAGCTTCCAGTAGCATAGCAATACATAAGCCATCACAATACAACAAACTGATAGACAAGTGGTGCTTAACATCAATACAGACATTTATTCATTCACTCAAGAACTATCTATTGAATGATTGTGATGTCCTAAGCATTGGGCTAGGTACATTGTTAAACTCAAGGGCTCCCTTGATGTAGCAATCCATGGGGTAATATTCTAGCCATACTAAAGGCCAGGCTTATAAAGTACTTTAAATTGGTTAAGGTATCTCACCAACACTTTGTCTGTCAGAGTACAAAGACAGTGGCTACTAGCCCCTAAAAATTTCAGCTACTGGCCCCTAAAAATTTCAGGCTTTCACGATTCACATACCAGAAGATTATCAGAAGCTGGTGGAAACTTTGGAGACCCAGCCTTCTACTCAGTACAACATCCTCAGTAGTCAAACACCTTTCTCCAAACATTACCAGAGATAGACCTGATTCTACTGGTGGATGCTGAGCTGAATCTACCTTCCTGAAACCTTCACTCCTTGTTCCTGATTCTGCCCTTTGAGCAACACAGAACATGTTAGGTCTTCAAGTACTGAAATACATGTATTAATCTAAATCTGCTTTTAGAAGCCCAAAATTTCTTGCAGAAAGGGTGTGTACTAGCCAGAAGCACATGGTAGTGCTTGATTCCCCTCACATCATTATACAAAAAATCGCTATCAAAATCTCATACTCACATAAGGAGTCAAGACTGCTTATGGATTAAGACTTTGGTCTCTTATGGTGGATATCCTAGGTTCAGTTCCTGGCTTTGCCAATTACAAACTGTACGGCTTGATGTCAATTACTTAACCTTCCTAGACTTCAGTTTCCTCATCTGTTAAATGGGCTCCTAACAGCAGTCAATTCCTAAGATTGTTGTGAGGATTAAATAAGACGATGTATAAACCTGTCAATAAATGCTCCACACATGCAAAGTACTCAACAAATGATAGCTATTGACAAAGCAGTTCTCACTTTGCAGACACTTCCGCATGCATTATTTTATTTGATCCTCACAACAAATTTACATTAAGTCTGTTGGATGGATGAGGAAAGTGAGACTCAAAGGGTTTAAGTAACTTACTTAAGGTCATGCAGATAGTGAGAGACTCAACTTGGATGAGAAGTTATATTTGCTGAATCCCATCCCAGTGCTCTTTCCATTTTACCACATGAGATCTCAGATCAAATATAACTCAAAGTAAATGACTCAAAGTAAACGACTGACAAATAAATACAATATACATACAGCTTAGTCTTCGGGGCAGAATCTTCCTAGATGCTACAAGTTACAGTCTGATGAAAACATTTGGCCAGAAAATTATTTCAGTTCTTTATTGAGAAAACGTAAACCATTATAGTAAAGCCAATGGTCTTGTCTCACTGCCTAATAAATAGACTTCTTCATACAGCGGTCGCCAATTCCCTCTCAGGTTTCTCAAAGATTAGGTAATTGTAGTTTTTAATTACTTTGCTTGTCAAAGATTAGTAACTTTGTGTTTGATAAGGATTTAATACTTGTATTTTGTCTCCAACACCATAAAGCATATAAGATTACACACAGGGTTTAACTCTAAAGTCCCTCCCAAGGGCATAGGGCTATAAAAAGCTTTGCAAAAGTATAGGAGAGGAATTTGTCCAAGAAAATGTTTAGTCAGCAATTCCCTGACCATTTCTTCATATTTAAATAATTTTTATTTGATTATATCCACTTTCTTTCCCCTACAGGAACTTGATCTTTTTTTCATTCAACAATTTAAATAAGTCTTTGCAATAATGATATTAAAAAAACAAACTCACTGCCGTCCAGTCAGTTCCGACTCATAGCGACCCCTCCCTGGGTTTCTGAGGCATTATCTCTATGGAAGTAGATTGCCCAGTCTTCCTTCCAACGAGTGACTGGTGGATTTGAACCACCAGCCTTCTGTTTAGCAGTCAAATGCCTTAGGCACTATGCCATTAGAGCTCCCAGTAAATGATATAAACAACCATAAAATATTTCTGAACTCTGAAACTAGAGTTTGGTGGTTTGGTGAGTGCAAAACAGTATATAACACAATAATAATGCTATAACAGTAATTAAAAATGCAAAGTAGTCAGATTGGGTACAAAAGAATTTTAGTGTATCTTGAATTCTAGTACTTGAAGAAAAGCTGGTCCCTATGCCTAAGGCACTTGACTGCTAACCAGAAGGCTGGAGGTTCAAACCCACCAGCCACTCCTTGGAAGGAAGGTTGGGCAATCTACTTCTGTAGTGATACTGCCTCAGAAACCCAAGGAGGGGTTGCTATGAGTCAGGTCTGACTCGACGGCACATAACAACAACAACATAGTCAGGTTGTGATGAAAAGGCCATAGAGAGTCATGGAAGGGTACTTCTAAGATGGTCAAGAGCTGTAAGAATTGCAGATTCTGTTTCTCCATTATGTCAAATACCTTAAAACCTGGGAAATTTTGCTTTCAGCTTACATTATACTTATCAGTCATAATGTGGGTTGTTTAAACATTTAAGATTGTTTGATAATAACCTTATCTGAGGCCCGTCAAAGAAAGAAAAGACAGAGAATGAGAAGGAGGTATATGTAGCTGGGAGAGAAAGAAGGGGACATATTTAATGAAGTAGAAGGCCCTAGGATAAGCTTCATGGTCATTGTAAAGGGAAAGAAATTTCTTGGTGAAAAATGGTGTTCAGTTCAACAGTTCTCTGTGCCAGCTCCAGATCCAAGGGAGCACCACTGGCCAAAGTAGCCTTTTGGTTGCCCAAGTAGGATGTGGAGAAGGAAGGGCAAACGGTGAAGTCTGGGGTGGTGGGGAAGGGGAGTTTGTGGGAGGCATAGGACAGGAAGTTCAAAAGTTGGGTGAAAATCCTAAGACAGTCTGTAGATTTAAAATTTTCGAACTATTTTCTATTTAGAAAAAGGAATAAAATATATTTACTGAGATTATTAGATTAACACCAAGACTACCCCTCTTAAGCATGTTAGTACAATGTTAGCACAGGACTTTAAGCTTGCTGTATGATGCTTGCATGGCTTCAAACCGGTTAAAAAACAGTTCAGTAATTGCTGCCATGAACAAGGCTGAGTATGCATTGTATAACAACCAAATCTGTTGCCCATGGTATTGTGATCCAAGAAGGAAACAAACAACTGTGCCTTGGTCAAAGATGGTGGCTGACCATGATGCTTTTAATGTGTGTTACTCTCCAGAATCTTGCAATAATGTTGCTTACCAAAAGTCCTGTCACAGTCCTTTCTCCTGAAAGTTTCAGGAGTCTGATGAGAGAGAATGGATTATTGGCAGGACTCTGGAGAGCAACACACATTCAAAGCAGAGTAGTTAGCCACCATCTTTGAGTGAGGCACAACTGTTTGTTTCCTATTTGGATCAAAATTCCACAGGCAACAGATTTGGTTTCTATGTAACAGATACAGGGCCCCTGTTTACAACAGCAATCACTGAACCATTTTGAAGGGGTTTGAAGGCCTGGATGTTCAGCTCAGTCACTCAGAAGAGGAAGATAGTCTGCTTTTGGGGCTGTCTGTGGTTAGCCTTTCATTTGATAGAGCTTTTAGGAAGCCAGGCTCACAGTTGCTCCCATGTATCGGTCAACGTGGACTTACTCTCACACTGGGCGAAGTGAGTGACATAAAGTTGGGAGAGCAAAGGCGCTGCCCAGGACTTCTGCTTTGCATTCAGAAGGCAGAAGGTTTTAGGGCACTGGTGTTTCTTTTGTCCTTGTTACTTATGAATAAAATTAAGGGTTTACTTTAAGCACATAGTTATTTTGATTGATTGGAAGCATTGACTTACTCTCTTGAGAAAGCAACGTGCCAGAAGTTCAGGATTTTCAGTGCATTTTTCCAATTCTTTTAGAAAAGTCCTAGGGAAAAAAAGCATAACAGTACTTTTATTTTTACATGCATAGAGTTAAAAAAAAAAAACACTTTTTTAAAAAGAAGTAAAACCACATAAGGTCTTAAGAGGTCTAGAAAAATGTTGTCCATCCTTTATTGCTTTTGACTTATCTTCAAAACACTGATTTGGAAGAAAATATGTATTCTGTGGCACTACTAAGATCACACTGAAACCACCCACCAGCCAGAGACTGACTGGACACACTTTGCTCCCCACTACATGATAATATTGACAAGAACTGTTGTACTGCTGCAATTACTAACATCATTGAGAGCTTACTACGTGTCAAACACAAGCTAAGTCCTTTAAAAACAGTATCTTATTTAATCCTCCACCAGCTCCTGCAAGGTAGGGGTTTATAAACGGAATCTCCAGGCTCAAAGAGCCTAAATAGCTTCTCCAGGGACATACAGCTTGAAAGCAGTAGAAATGAGATTTCCATTTTAATTTTGTAACTAATAGACAGAACAGGGTAGGAAACCGCTGTAGTTCAATTCACCAAGCAGTCTTGTCCCCTCCATTAACAGGATGTGTGACCTTGGAAGTCATCAAAGGGAGTAGAGTGAGTAAGCAGGCTGCAGCAATACGAGAACACTGAAACATGATTTCCAAAGTCCCTTTGTCCTTTCATTCTCTAGAACTCGGCACCCAAGCAGCACTGGGCTAAAGGGACAACATTTTCTAACACCCTCATTTCCAGCATTACTCAATGATAATAGGTAAATAAACCAGTGTCTTAGTCATCTTCATATTCCCAATGCAGAACATAGCTGCTGGCACAGAACAAGCGTGCAATAAATACTTAAGTATGAATCAACAAATGGACAAAGGAACACACAATGAATACAACACAGACGCCTGACTCTTAGTACGTGCTCCATTAGTGTCTTTTCCTTTCTTCATCAGTGCTCTTGTGGTGCTTCTCCCCTCCTCACCCTCCAACCTAACGCAACCCAATCTGCTGACTCTGGGCCACTTGCTTCTACCTAGAAAGCTCTAGGCACTGTCCTCTTCAAATTCCATCAGCCTGACTTCCCACCCTTCTCTTCCCTACTTTCCATTTTCCCTGATAATTTGGATTATTATATACCTGTTGTGAAATTCATAAAGTTCTCTAATATTCCCAAAGAGAAAGTCCTTGTTATTTTGAAGAACATCTGGGATCAGATGCTTTAGCCAAATAAAATCCATTGGTGTGATATATCCCTGCAGGGGGTGGAAACAAGGTAGGTTTTAAAGATAGAAATACATAAGAGATGATCTGAATTAGCTACTCCAGGAACCAAAACGTTAATAAACTATTTGGGGAATAGAGCACACATGTTTTCTGAAAGCTATTCTATCAGACACTTTGTTTTGATACAATTTTTCTCACATTTCTGTTTTCAGAAGGTGATGATTTAATGGCAATGATAATAAAAGGCATTTTTATAGGGAAAACAAATATATTTTTTAAATATTTATAAGTTATATAAGTCAAGTATGAAAGAAAGGAAAAAACATAACCAACTGTATGACCTAATGGATACATTCATATTTTATTATATTTCCTTAATGGCTTTTAGATAACTTATTTCCTGTGGTTGTTATCATAGTACATATATAACTTTGTATTGTTTTTTCATATATATTTTAGGCTCAGCTTATAAACTTTTATAACAAAAAACAAAACAAACTCACTGCCATTGAGTCGATTCTGACTCGTAGCGACCCCTCCTTGGGTTTCCGAGGTGTCATCTCTATGGAAGTAGATTGCCCAGTCTTACTTCCGAGGAGTGGCTGGTAGTGGGTTTGAATTGCCAGCCTTCTGGTTAGCAGTCAAATGCCTTAGGCATTCCGCCACCAGAATTTAAGCATTTTTGTATCATATCATATCAATGTTACTATGTATTATTCAAAATAATTTTATTTCATAGTTGAATGATATTTCACCTTGCATATAATTCTTTATTTAACCATTCTCATTATTATTGGATGTCTGAGTTGCTTCTGATATTTTGTTGTAAAAAAATAATGAATAAGTTTGTGCTCAGTTTTTTCTTCAAGATTATCCCTTTAGGAAAATAGGGAAATACACATTTTCATCTTTAAGCCAGAAAAGAAAAAGTTGTTTTAAACAATGAGAAACAACCCTCTCTTGTTAAATTATTCAAAACAATTAAGTCCTAATAGCCACTGCTGTCAAGGACACAGCGAACCTAGTTGGGTGTTGCTGGAATTATGACATGGAATGATCCTTTAGAAGGTATTTGGTACAGGAAGTAAGAGCCATACAAATATTCATACTCCTATTGGAGAGACAAATGTATCATTACAAAACCTGAAACCTTGGTGGCAATTCCAGCGACATATGGCAACCCTGGGCAACAACACTTCTCCAGTTTGAATATATTCTTAACCCCCCATCTACTTACATCAATTATGCTCTTAATTTCTTTTATATAAATTTCTTCAGTCTCAAGCAAGTCCCGTATAATGCGCCTGAATCACAGCACCAGGTGGGAGAGAGGTGGGGAGGGGTGGCAGAGGCAGGGGTGGAGAGGAAGAAAGAGTGCTCTTTTAGAATGCTCATCAATATAGTCCCCCTTAATAGACCACCTGCTTAGGTTTGGGTCATTCTGCTCTACTGAACACCCAAGGCCAGGGTCTCTCAGAGGCACACTCTGGACACACCGATGTTAAGAAGAAATAGCAAGGCTGTTGTTGCTGTTGCTGTTGTTTGCCGTCGAGTCGGACTGACTCAAAGCGACCCCTCCTTGGGTTGCCGAGGCAGTATCATTACTCCGAGGAGTGGCTGGTGGGTTTGAACCGCCAGCCGTCAAGTGCCTTAGGCACTATGCTACCAGAGCTCCTATAGCAAGGCTAGAGGGCTCAAAATCCATTTGTGCAGACAGTTAATGAATCTAGGTGGACCATGTAGCCTAGGCATCAAGAGCACAGACTTGGAGTCAGAAATATTATGTTTTGATCCTTGGTCAGGAAGGTCTTCTGACCTCTCTATTGTACGTGTGGATTTTGAGATTTTCTCACTACCACTACCTTTCTATTGTTTCATCACTCAGATCAAGATCCCACCTGGATGTATTTTGTTGTACATGGGGTTAGATGGATGCCAGTCATGGCCCCTTCCTTTGGCATTGGATGTTTCAGCTTTTCTTAAACCAAAAGCTCCATCTGCTTCTTACGAGGAAGGGAGGCCTGTGGAGGGTGTAGTAGGCAGAATTCTAAGATGGACACCAAGATTCCGATCCCTTGGGGTACACATTCCTTCTCCCAGTAAGTCAGTCAAACACTAATTTAAGTACTGCTGTAAAGGGATTTCACAGATGTAATTAAGGTCTCAAATCAGTTAAGTTTAAGATGGGTAGATTATCCTGGGTGTGCCTGTCCTAGTAACATGATCTCTTTCAAACTGGGTCTAGAGATCAGAAACAGAGAAGTCAGAGATCTTCGAAGCATGAGAAGGATTCAACGCATGGGAGATTCTGCTCTTTGGCGATGGAGGGGGTCAGGTGGCAATGGATGTGAGTGGCCTCTAGAGGCTGGGTGAGGTCCATGGCTGACAGCCAGCTAGGACACAGATGTCAGTCCTACAGTCACCAGGAATTGAATTCTGCCACAACATATGAGCTTGAGGAGAATCCTGACTCTGGACAACTGAGCCGGTCAACATCCTGATTTTAGTTTTGTGGGTGTTGAACAGGGAACCCAGTCATACTGTGCCTGAACTCCTATCCCAGGGAAACTGTGAACTAGTAAGTGGTGTTGTTTTGAGCTCCTAAAACCAAAAAACTAAACTCACTGCCACCGAGTCAATTCCGACTCATAGCAACCCTCTTTGGGTTTTCGAGGCAGTAAATCTTCATGGAAGTAAATTGCCCAATCTTCCTTCTGTGGAGTGGCTGGGGGGTTTGAACCTTCAATCTTCTGGTTAGCAGTCAAATGCCCTACGCACTACACCACCAGAGTTGAGCTGCTAAGTGTGCGGTAATTTGTTATGCAGCCATAAAAACTCAATACAGAGGGTGAGGCCACTTCCCATAGCTATCCCCAGACAGACTCTTTCCTTTCTCTCATCAGGGTCTTGTGTTTCCTTTTAGGGTTCGGAGTGAATGAGTTTTGTACAAGTATTCACATATAGAATACATACATTTATGGATTCCTGTGATCTACTGGTAGGCTATCAATTAAGGAGAAGCCTATCCCAGTAAAGGGTTTCTTTTCTTCTCAGAAAAAGGGATATGCCAAACACAAAAAATCCAACAGGAAAAAAAAAAAAATTCACACAAATATACAATGACAAATAAGGCTATGGGGGGAAAAAAAAGTGCTCCCCTACACACATAACTCTGCAAAGGCCTATTAAGAGGGAGTGACACTTTTCATCTATTAGAATGGCAGAAATTTCAAACCTCAATGGAAGACTAGTAAGTGAAGTTGTGGAAACACTCTTAAATAATATTGGCGGAAGTATAAATTTTTGCAAGCTCTTTAGAGGCTAATTTGGAAATATCTCAAAAAAACTTAAAACATGTACTCTTTTACTCAGTATTTAACTTATAGGAATGTTCATTGTTTGTGATTAGAACAATAGAACTTCAACAAGAACCAGATAATCCCATTGCCATCGAGTCAATTCTGACTCATAGCGACCCCCTAGAGGGTTTCCAAGGCTATACCTATTTATGGAAGCAGACTGCCTTGTCTTCTCCTGAGGAGCAGCTGGTGAGTTTGAAAGGCCAACCTTTTGGTTAGCAGCCCAATGCCTTAACCACAGCACCAGTGAAACCAGAAATTACTCAAATGTTCATCAATAAATTATGGTACATACATACAATGCAACCCACGCAGCTGCTAAAAAGAATGAGGCTGATTAACACGTGCTGATGTGACAAATTTCAGGTATTTTAAGTGAAAACAAAAGCAAGATGCAGAAGTATGAAAAGTCTATTTGTGTATGTATACATTTAAGTAAAATCATACATGGTTAGAAAATTTATGGAAAGAAGATGTTACCAACAGTGACAGCTTTTAGATAGTAGTACTGAAGGCTAGGAATGAGGAGGGAAAATTTCTAGTTTACACCCTTCTAAGGAGCTCTGGTGGTGCTATGGTTAAAGTATTGGGCTGCTAATCAAAAGGCTGGCAGTTCAAACTCATCAGCAGTTCTGCAGGAGAAACATGAGACAATCTGCTTCTGTCAAGATTTACAGTCTTGGAAACTCTGTAGGGTAACTATGAGTTTTAATTGATTCGATGGCAATGAGTTTGGCTATACCCTTCTACATATTTTTTCCCCTTTAACATCAAACATTGACTGCTTTGAGAATTAAAAAAAAAAAAAAGGCTTATGTGACATTTTAAAAATGATGATACGGAGGGTACTGACCCCATTCGAGAAATAGAAATTATACAACTTATGTATTTTATAAGGAGCTCTGGTGGCATAGTGGATACAGCATGTGGCTGCTAACTGGAAGATCAGTGGTTCAAACCCATCAGCCGCAATAATAATTCTTTCTTAAAATAACAATTTTTCTATACATTCATAAATTCTTATTATAAGACAAGAAAGAGCCACTGACAGAGAAAACAATAGTAAGAAGTATATAAACTACTGCAAGTTATTCTAAGTCCATACTGAGCTAACAGAGTCACTAAAGAAGAGATTCCTGTTCTTTTTACAAATTATCTTGAAATGATGACAGTTGTGTCAGAAAGAAATGAAGGCCTTGATAATGATCTTTTTCTATCAAGCCATGATTTCAAGTAGGACCAAAGCAACAGTTAAGCATTCATAGAAAACCAGAGTACAGTTGGCCTCTTATGTCTTTATGAAGCATTGGGCTTATGCAACTTGGCAAGTCTACTTCAGGATGTAGTGACTGTTAATTGAAGTCAGAAGGCAGAAATAACTAGGTGGAGGGCAGAAATAAATCTTATTATCCAGCAGTCATGTAGGAACGTAGAGAGTCTTAGGAGCTTTGGGGAATCTGACTCATGAAAATATTCACAATTCAGAAGAGAAAAAAGTCCTTGATAGGCCATGTTCCAGCTTATAGCATGGAAAACAGTTCAGCACTGTCATCCAACTGCCTTGTTTTACCTGATGGAGGGCAACGGATAAAATTCGAGCAATAGGAATTCCCCTAAACACAAGTAGTCTATTTCAGTTCAGGTTTAAAAGAGAAAAAGAAAAAAAAAAGTTCTCACACTAAGATTAAGCCCTTCTTTTTTCTTTCCTCTCCTTTTTTTCTCTTACAAATAACTTTATACAAAAGGAGAGAATTGCTGACTCTGGCTGATGTTTGCCTGCTTTATTATTCCAAAGCACATAATTTTCTTTGTAGAAAAGATTCTCAAGAATTTACCATGTAAAGTCATCAAGCGTAAATGATACAGATACAGAACAGAAAACACTAGCGTCCTCAAGTAATTTAAAAACCTTTAAACACCAGCCAAAAATCATTAAATTCATTTACCAAACACTTACTGAATCCCTTCTATGATCCAGGTACTATATAATAGGCACTTGGGATAAAGAAATGTACCATAATCTAGTATCTGTTGGGAGCTCTGGTGGTATAGTGCCTAAGGCATTTGACTGCTAACCAGAAAGCTGGCGGTTCAAACCCACCAGCCACTCCTTGGAAGGAAGGTTGGGGAATCTACTTCTGTAGTGATACTGCCTCGGAAACCCAATGAGGGGTCACTAAGAGTCAGATCCAACAGCACGGCAGTGAGTAATGGAAGAAACATGAAAATCAGTGACTCTAATGTAATGTGGTCACTCTAACCCAGAGGGGTCAGGGGCAGAGGTGGGCACATAATTAAGCCAGGGGTAAGAGGAGATACTGGCAATACTGACTTGAGGGGAGTGAAGCTGAAGCAAGTTTTGAAAAAAGTAAATGAGGGGTGATGGAGTAAAACTGAGTCCTAGGCAGAGAGGACGGCATGGAGGAGGGGGCAGAGGCAAGAGATGTATGGTGTACCTGTGTCTTACTCAAAATTCTTTGGAGAAACAGAATCAGTAAGATATATATATATATAGTTATATATATATATACATACACACATATACACACACACACACACATATATATACACACAAATATATACACACACATAAAGATATATATACACACACACACACACACATATATATATATACATATGTGTGTGTATGTATGTGTGCTATACATTTACATGTCTGGTAGCATAGTGCCTAAGGCACTTGACTGCTCACCAGAAGGCTGGCGGTTCAAA